AATGTGTTTCCCCCTTACTAAATAAATTTAAGTGGCTTAACAATGTTCTTTTAATAAAAATAATTTTTTTTTTTTTAATTTTGAATCACATTATATATAAATAAGTGTAAGTTAAGGATACCAATAAATATAAATTAATGATTACAAGAGAATTATCTCTCATTATATAACTTTAAATTAAAAAAATAAAAAATAAATTGTTTCGTTATTTTCATTAAGAAAAATAAGAATAAATTGCTCCTTAACCACATAGGGAAGTTCTGGCTTGTTTCTAGACAAACAAATGATGGAAATTTGACCTTCAAGATTTCGTAAAATTACACAAAGACAAAAAGGGGTTTTGTGGGTTTTTGGAGAGTCAAATGTCACCTATTAAAAATCCGTACCCACCATGTAGTTATGAGATACTGCCATCAAAGTCACTTAATTTCTTTCATATGAATGCAAATTATAGAGGTGGGGCGTACCCATATAATTGTTAATGATGCTAATTATGTCACTTTTATTATTATTTTTTTCTTTTCATTTCCTTCCCTTACGTTTCATGGTTGAGTAAAATGATCAAACACTTGAATAAACATCAAGAATAATAATGTATCATAAATTATTCTGGAAAACTTACTGCTAGCTTCCTTAAAGAACATAACGTTGACGTAGTGGTGAATTTCTATTAAAAATCTAAAGGTTGCAGCTAAACTCTTATATATGGTTGGTTTGAGCTTCAATTTGCAACAAATGTAATTTTTTTTTTCCCTTCAAATTATTATTTATCTATGCTTAGTTGAGGATTAAAACTTGAAGATATTTAAACATTTCTTGAGAGCAAAGAAATAAATATGATTAAATTAAGCAGTGCTGAGTTGCCAATCGGCCATGTTCATTCTTTAAAAATCTTTACTTTTTTGTTGCAAAAGGGATAAAGTAAAATTTGTTTTGATACCGCAAGGATCATATCCTATGGAGAATGTATAGCCAACTAAACATCTTAGTGCCTCTCCTTTTTTTAGTGTCTCTTTATTTTGGGTAATGATTCAATTGGGACCAACTATATCCTTGTTCTTTGAAGATCAAACAAGACAAAAGCAAGGACAAATTAAGAATGGATAGCACTAACATGATAATCTTGCAAATGTTGAAATGGAGTAGATTAATTATTAAGCATCCCTACACTTGAAGATTTGATTTGTTGACATGGCTGATTTATGAAGTGAACAAAATTTTTCTCGTAAATTTTTTATACATTCACATGATCATAATTAATTATATAATGGAAGGTAATTTTTATTTTTACAAATTTCTTTACACAAGTTTTAATATTTAAATTTAAGCAATCTAATTTAAAATTTTAATTTCTGACTAAACCACAAAAATTGCTTGTATCTAAATATTGTCTGTTACCCTTTACATGCTCCCAGTACTGCTGGAAATTGATGCAACTGAATAAAGAGAAAATTTATGCAAATTGACATCATGAGTACCACTGCATTATAATTTATTTATAAGCCCATGAGAATGAGGTGACCTTGGAAGGTATCAGAAGAGATCTAGAGCATGAAAGTAGCCGGACCCCATAAAGCAAATTAACCAATGGCACCACAAACGTAGAAGTGGTCCATTCTCTTTATTTTCCAAAAACTAGTATACTACAGAATTCCAAGCTCGTACCATACCACAACGCCCAGCAAAAGACATTTCCTCATCATTGCAACCATTTCCTTTGTTTTTTTGAGGTAGTTTTTTGCTTAGGTGGGGTGTGAGGGTTCACATGCGCTCCATTTGAAACTGTCCTCCTGGAATTCTACAGTCTTTTGCTGCCCTAACTCTGGGTGTTTGGCTACAGGCTTTTTCCAGTTCTCTGTCAGGATTGTTTGTTTGTTCTTTTTCGTTTTTTGTTTTTACTGCTTTTTTTTTTTGGCACTCGAGTGGATGTGTCTTGCACTGTGAATTCAATAATGTTAAAAACCAAGAAGGCAATGAACATCAATTGATTGCACTTGGGTACTTGCAAGCCTAAAGAATCTTTCTGTAATCCAACTACCTGCAATGTGATTAATATTTCGTCCTCTTCTACAGTATCATATGTGTCGGTTTTTAAGTTTTTGGTTAACTTAGGTAGATTTTTTTAGATGAATTTAAAGTGCGTATCAGATTAAATTCATCTTGGACTTTTATTGAATCTTTCGATTACCTCATTCCCCGAAGTTGTCAAAATTAATAAAGCCGCCGCCCCTTAAGTAGTAAATTGGATTTCATGACAATCACATTTTAGCATTGTCATTGTAACTTTAGCGTGTTGTTCTTTGTGAACAACGTTTTCAACTTTTGATGTGAACGAAATGGCAAAGGTGCAGTGATCGCTCCTACAGAGTGAACTACTTTCGTACTTGGGCTTTGAATAAACACAAAAAATCCCTAAGTGTACTCATTCAAGATTCTCTGGGTCTCTAAACCACAAAGCCCAATACTTGAAGGGGCTAAATTTTGGGGCTACAAAACAGGCTTAGATTTGCTTTAGGTCATTCTTTAGACCTAGATTTTGGGCTAATTGAACTCCCCCAAACTTGAATGAATCCAAGCCCAATTTATCATCATCCATGCTCCAACAGGAGTCATGGTTCTACCCAGATTCTTGATACTAACCAGTAACCATATTACTAATATATACTTGTTCAAAATAGATCTGTCTTACGCACAAATTTTCAATGCATTTCAATTCAATAACTACAATTATTGTAACTTATTAATATTTGACCAACCAAAAGTATAGTTCAAAGAGACCTTGGACTGGTATGCATGCGGTAAGATGGTTAAAGAGATAAGAAAAAATTATTTCTCATACAACCCAATTTTTTTAATAAAAAAATCAAAGTGAATATCAGAGAATGATAAATCAATTTATAGTTTATTTGATTTAAAAGGAGGGTAAGGATAGGAAGAGAAAGGGAATAAATTTCTTCATTTAAATAATAAAAAATTGAAAGGGTTGGTGGGGGGAAAGGAGGGAGGGGCTCTCCTTTTTTGTATTTTACTTTAATCATACAAGAGGAAAGGAGGGAAATAGAAAGAAAACCTTCCTTGCCATCCATTTCTCTCAAATCAAGTAAAGAGTTAGGAAATTGGCACTAGTCAATTCAGGGTCAAGACCTATATTCACCTAATTAAGTAGAAATGGAACAGAAACAGGCCTACCCACAACCAGAGCAGAAATATACACATGATATATCATCACTAAAATCAAGCCACAAACAAAAACCGTCCAACTTTTCTGAGCATTGAAAAGAAGAAGAGAATCTTAGACCCAATCTGTTCCCTTATCTTTTTTTCCTGGATGTACTCCTTCAATAAAAGATAGAGAAAGTGATACCACCCCACTACTCCTGGCTCCATTGCTTTGGTGTTTGGCACCAGCAGGAATAACATATGATGAAATAGTCGTCAGTCGAGGTTGATTTATCTTAAGCACTAAGCTTGTCATTGTCAAGCAAAAGATTTTATTAACGTCTCCATGCGTTGGGTCTACACGAAATGAAGATTTTTTAGTGGTCCTCTCTATAGACCTCACCAGCAAAAATCATATGGGGGAAATATTAATGTTCCTCTGACAAAATGGATGGTTCATATGGATTTAAACCAAAGTTGAGCCACCGACATGATAAATGTAGAATCCTGGTCAACTATGATCCTTTATAGTGGTAGCCACATATGCTGGTGAGTCAGAGGCAATCATTCTCGTTAGAATTAAAAATTTTATTTATAAAGAATTATAATTAAGGATTATATAGAGTTTTGAAAATAATGCCATGCAACTTAATTTCATTCTAGTAGTAAGTAGTCTTGGGTGGAATCAGGGAGAGGTTAAGGCTACGGCCATCTCTTTTTTATTCCTAATTTTAAGACTTTTTATTTTACCCTACTTAGAGATTTATGATAGGGCATTTGGGGTTTTTTTTTTTTTTAAATCTTAATTACACAAAAGAAAACAACTATATTTCATCATTTATCTTACACTATTCGTACGTTATGCGATTCAAACTCAGAAACTCTTATTTATTATAAAAGAAGATAATCATTAACTTATTTAAATTGCTGATTTTGCAGCCTAACTTTTAAATCTTTTTGTTTCTTTTTTTTTTTTTTTTTTT